CTGTGTTTATGCATCAAGGTGGCCCGGAAATCATGTTTGCAAGCAAATTTGTTCGGAGCTTGCAGATTAACCTTTTAATTAACTTTGCCCAACCGAACTCAAGCAATTTATTATAGCACACTTTAATTTTCAACAGGTTCTTTTCAGCCATCTCTGTTTACTTGTTCTATTAAGTAACCTGCAGTCCTCCCTCGTTGAGTGCTCTAGCCCCGTAAGCCAATCGTTTGCCCCCCGTGAGAAACTGGGAGATGTAAGGGTGGGTCTTCCACTGCTGGAACTCCTTGAACGGGTTCAGATAGGGGTTGTTGTAGTCCAGTCCAATCACGAAACCCAGAGCCACAAGAGGTGCTCCTTCGTCAAGGTGATACATGAAGGATCCACCGTAAACGTCCTTGCTCTAAATTATACACTTAAAATGGAAAACTTTGAACGTGAACTGACCAGAAAAGCAATAAGTTGGCTCAAGACTCCGAAAAATTGGTCAATTTAAGCCGATCATCACATTCAATTCAGGCGCATTCTTTAGGCATTAAGTTTAGGCATTAAATCCAAAGGGGGCACTGTCGTCTTAAAATTATTAGAAGTGTGTGCTGAATGATAAATGCCTATTTGTTGGGTACAAAAATGACCATGGAAAGAATATATCGGATGACTACAATCGTTAATAACAGTAGCTTGCTTCGTGTCATTTGAGCTTCAAAAAAAACTTGAGAGTCCAATGGAATGGTGTAGGGTGAATACTTACGAGTGGCCAGCCCACAGTGTGATCTACTAGTCCTGGTTTGTGGTTGCCCTCTTCCACCTCCCACAGCTGAAACGATCAACGTTCATAAAAAATCATATAAAATCCAAAATAAAATCATACCAGGTGCAATACTATTTTAAACAACATGCAAAAAACTAAAACGAAATTGACGAAGGAACTAATGAACTATTTAAAAAAATGCTTGTATCTATACCTACGTTTAAAGTTAGAGTACAGTTCCGGTTAATCAACTAGATTTGAAATTGAAAAAAAAACACCAAAAAATTCGTCTAAAAACGCAACCATAAAAAACGCAACATGAGGAAACTAAGCCAATATAACATAAGACCCAAATTTTTTAGACAAAACCATGAAATTGGAAATCTTACCGAAACCAAGTTGGTTATTTTACAGTCAACGCAAAAAAAATTCAAGCACTACAAAAATTTTAAATGCAAACATGCCGGTTGAGAACTCCAACATATTTGGACTCAGAGAAATCAGGAGATACTTGGTGCTAATTTAAGTTTTGAACAAAAAAAACAGTTGCAATACCCTAGCTGGTCTCAAAGTCAAATGAATACTTAGCGACTATTCGAACTTAACTGCTGTACCTCTTTGAGACCTATGGCGTAGGTCTGTGGTTGACAGTCTTCTCTGAGCTGAGGAAACTGAGAGTAGAGCTGTTTCGTCAGGGATCCGTGACATCCCTCTGCGAACACTGTCACTTTGGCGTGCAACTCCATGCCCCGCTCGAAGGAGTCTTTAGGGGAGCCATCTTTGGCAACACCCATATCATTTGTGGCCACGCCCTTGATGGAACCATCATCGTGGAACAGAATCTGAAGTAAATAAAAATAAGCACATGTTCAGGGTTGCCAGACGTTTTTGACAACACTTCTCCATAGATTTCCTATGACACTTACAGACAGACGAGAAGCGACGCTTCGGATAACTTATTTTGCTACACACATATAGCATAACAAGACTGCTCGTATCAGGGCGAAGCCCTGAATGTTCCGACTGCCTTTTACGGTTTATGGAGCAGCAGTAATAACATTAAAAAAATTAAATGAAATAAAATAAAATGAAAATTTTTTTTTTCTAAAATTTGAAAAATTTTATGAAAATCATCCCCCCACACCCCATTTAAAGTACAAAAAGATAGATTTCGTTCCTTGTAACAAATCAATTATGGCAAATAAGCTTCGTTCAACCAATTTGGAACGATTTCTAAGACGGACTAAATCTCCGCTTACGCGTTAATAGCGCTAATTATATCGCGCGTTAATTGTCCCAAATTGGTCAAAATGGCAATCTTTAAACCCTCATAACTTTACGAAAAATGATCACAGGTGAAATATCTTTTCAAATTTAAGCTCAGTACAACAATACCTTTTGAATGATAAAAAAAATTCCGTCAAAAATGGCTAGTTAAAAAGTCGAAATTTGTCTGAAGAAAAAAAAACCCACCCCGAGCACAAATATTCCGTTACTTTCGTATCGAAAGTCGGAACAATAAACTAGCTATATGAGACAAAAGCTAAGTCAAATATATACATATTTCACAATGTGTCTTCTACAGCTAAGTCTCATAAACATATTTCAAAATGTGTCTTCGAAAATGAGACAAAAGATAAGTCAAATATATACATATATCAAAATGTGTCTTCTAAAATGAGATCTGCAAAAACTTTTATATTCTTGTCTGGGTATGTCTTGAATCATGTTAATTTTGAGAAAAACATGACAAGTAAGACAACTGAATGTTAACTTAGCATTGGAAAAATAACTTTCGAAGCAAAAACAAAACAGACAAAATTTGAGCAGACTAAAAACTAAAGTATAACAAGACTGCTCGTATCAGAGCGAAGCCCTGAATGTTCCGACTGCCTTTTAAGGTTTATGGAGCAGCAGTAATAACATAAAAAATTAAATGAAATAAAATAAAATGAAAAATTTTTTTCCAAAATTTGAAATTTTTTATGAAATCATCCCCCCACACGCCATATAAAGTACAAAAGAATAGATTTCGCTCATTGGAACATATCAATTATGGCAAATATGCTTCTTTCAACCATTTTGGAACAATTTCAAAGACGGATTAAATCTCCGCTTACGCGTTAATAGCGCGAAATATATCGCGCGTTAATTGTCCCAAATTGGCCAAAATGGCGATCTTTAAACCCCCATAACTTTACGAAAAATGATCACAGGTAAAATATCTTTTCAAATTTAAGCTCAGGACAGCAATACCTTTTGAATGATATAAAAAAAATCCGTCAAAAATGGCTAGTTAAAAAGTCAAAATTTGTCTGAAGAAAAAAAAACCCACCCGGAGCACAAATATTCCGTTACTTTCGTATCGGAAGTCGGAACAAAAACTACCGAATAAAAACTAAAGTATACCAATTCTCTATTGAAAATTCTTGTAACTTGCAAGTGTAATTGAGATGGTACAACTATAACCTCGCTTCCAGCGTAGCCAGGATATATCTCCACACCCATCTCTTCGGCCTGTTCGCCCAGCCACTTGACCACATTGCCCAGTCGCACTATATAATTGCCCTTGTTGTGCATGGGGAAGCCTGGAAAAACAGAAGAAATCGTGTGTTATTTTTGATGGCATATTAAAGCTGGATAAACAAACTTGTCTGATTTCGAGATAAGTTTGAGCTAATTCAAAAGGTGACGTGCGTAAGAACACCCGATAAAGTAAACATCAAAAAAAGTTATTACCAAGTCAAACATCTTTAAAAATCTGCAATAAATAATACAAACAGAATTCAACTGAAAAATATTTTTACGTTGAGAACATACGCATTGTTTTTAAAACAAAATTTCGGCCACTTGTATTCATAGATTTTAAAATTGGTGCATCATTAGATTAGATGAATATTACGTAATTTTGGATGTTTTCACAATCGGTTGTTTGCACAAATGCCATTTCGAATTTATTTAACAACAATGAGAAAGTTGCAGATGTTTAAGTGTACCTGGTGGTATTGGGACTGGAATGCGACTGTTCTTCAAGAGGAACGAGAACCTATCCTGAGATACCTCTGTAGTGATTGGCGCCTAAAATCACATCACATATCATCATCACACTCGATACTAATTTGACCTTATTTAACACAAAACTCTACTCGCCCCTCTGTCCTTCCAGTCTGGGAGTAATTCGTTCAAAGCAGTCGGCTCCAGACAAGCACCTGACAAAATGTGACCACCTAAACAACAACAAATAAAAACCCTCGTTCAAGTCCTTCTCCGAAAAAAATACAACACAAACATAAAAAAGCCGAAAAAAAATTAAATTATGAAAAAACTAAGTCAGCCAAAATTTTCGTATGTCTTGATAAAAAGTTACTACAGCCAGCTAAAACTGGATGCACGTGTTTGATTTTGAATGAAATTGCTATATCGATGCGGTACTAAAACTGTGATATCAAAAATTGGACATTGCCCAAAACCTTAGTTGTTTCTCTACTGAAATAAGTGAGAAGAATAAAATAAAGTTGAGACAATGAATTTTCCCAAGAAGACACTACATCTTTTAGCAAAAATTATGAAAACACCGCTGCTGCAGGAACCATTATAGAAACCGGTTCTTTCAATTGAACCTTTCGTCTCAGAATTGATTGTAAATTTTAAGAAAATCAAAAAGCTTCTAAACAACGTTCAAAAGGATTTCCAAAGCCAATGACTTTTTCCTGCAAAGAGCAAGTTGTAGACGTTTGAGCAGAGAGGACTCCCAAAATCAGGTTTCCAGCACAAAAAAAACGGCGATGTCTTTTACCGAAAAAAAAGTTTGAATTTCATGCACACTGAAAAAACAGTCCTACCATGACTCGACCACCACACCTTAGGCTGCAAAAGCGACCGCGTTTCTTCCAGGCGTGTGAAGGAACCAGGAAGCTATTAGGATTCAATAATAAATGGAACGCCTATTTGAAACTCAGGCATGCTCATCTCATGTCTGTTGGTTGACGGAAGTGCGAATTTGAGAAAACTAAAATAATAAAATAAGTTGATTACAAGAAAATGTCTATGTTCTGATTTGATACACAGTGTCGAAGCTCAGCCTCGCAGACACAAGCGAAGAAAATGCAAAAGAGAGCCCTGAACTGGCGAAACAGTGAAATAAGGAAAAGATTTGAAACATCATGAGAAAAAAATTTGAATCACGTTTTCACATCTGCTCCACGACCGCTTGTAACTTAACTAACACTAGCCACCCATAAAGCAGCAAAAATTCGAGCAAAGAAACCAGTTCAAAGTTTCGGATTTGATTCTCCGACCTGACGTCCTCACATTTGCGCCATGGTCACTTGGAAGTAAACGAGTGACCCAGTAAATTCTGGATGCACCTGTTTTTTTTAAAGATTTTTACATTAGCTAGAAATTTTTTGGGAAACAAAAATTCCTGTTGATTCCCCAAAAGTTAACCACTTTCATAGCAAAAATGTGAATGATACGAACTATTCCAAATGTCTTAAAGTTACTACAGTAGACTTCATACACCAAGGGGGCAATCGATTAGCGTTTACCAATGACCAATTGTTTTAAAGTCCGATCAAATATTTAAATTACAAGAACAAAATCCACAGTTGATGCCAGAGTAGATAGGCTAGTTTACTTTATATATCAATTACAAAACAGTCTGCATATTGTATGTTTTAAATCTGCCCGAGGCCTTTGATACAGTTGATCATTCTATTTTACTAGCGAAACGCCAAATGTATTGGTTAAGGGGCCGTGATCCAAAGCTTAAAGCTTCATCTCTTTTTGTTTCCATCGAGGTATTTTGACAGACCTGAAAAATGTGGAAACAAAAGGATCAGTTATGAGCTGAAATCAAAGTCTACTCTAATTAGATGATCTTCGTGTAGCTGTAGAGAAATTTTAAATACCTATATTGAGCATTCAAAAGTTTTGAAAACAAAGAAACTGATCTTACACGGCCGCAAATACAAAGATACTGGATAAAGTATAGGGCAATTCATGATAACAAGATGCAAAAAACCCGCGAATTAAACAAAAAAAAACAATTTGTCAAAGAAAACATAATTTATCAATTACTAGGGTGTATCTCTCGACGAAAAACTAGATGACTACGATTGAAATTCAAAAAGGGAAGCCGCAAACTAAATGGCACTGAAATACAGACCTAAAACAAAAACTCCTGTTGTTCTCCTAAAATTAATGATTTTTATAGCAATATTGTGAATGAAACTCACTTTTCTAAATGCCTTAAATTATTACATTAGACTTCATATATTAAGGAGGCACTCGATTAGTAATTACCAAAGACCAATTGTTTTAAAAACGATCACATATTTTCGTTACCAGAACAAAAATCTACAAATGGTGCCAAAGTAGATGTCTTAGAGTTTACTTGATAAATCAAATACAAAACAGTCTGCATATTGTATGATAGAAATCTGCCCGAAGCCTTTGATACAATTGATCATTCTATTTTACCAGCAAAAAGACAAATGTATGGGTAAAGGGGCCATGCTCATGCACGTCTAAGCTTTATCACTAATTGTTTACCGTCGAGATATTTTGACAGACTTAGAAAGAGTGGAAACAGAAGGATCAGTAAAAAGTTCAAATCTAATTCTACTCGATATAGATATGTTCGTGAGGCTGTAGAGAAAATGAAAATCGTTTTTTAAGCTGAAGCTTAATGCCTAAATTGAGAAATTGAGAATTCAGAAGTTTTGAAAACGAAAAAGCGATTTGACACAGTGATCAAAACAGATAGCCGCAAATCGGACTTTACGCAAAACCCTAATTTTTCTGCTTAAAAAAGATAATCTGCTTATGTAAAAAAGAAAACTACTACCCACTCTTTCAATTGAATTCTATATTTCAGATTTGGCTGGGTAAATTTCGAAAAAATTTCCAATAATTGAGCGAAAAATAGAAATTTGACTACTTAAAGCACCAAAAACTTTTCTATACTTAGGCATAGGAATAGCCTATACTATAGCATTCGTAGCTTTAGCTAATAGTTTTCAATAATAGTGATGAAATTTCTTTAAAAAAAGGTTAAAATTTCGAAGAATGGAGTTTTCCGAAGTTTTCTACAAAAAATCAACTTCAGAAGCAATAGGTTAAATTTGAAGAAAAAAATTCCGAAAAAAAATAGGCAAAATTAGCTATTTTCTAGGTCACGTTTTTTTCAAAACTAAGGGCATAGTCATTTGCGCAGGTAAGATGTGCATAACTACTTTCTTTCGGTCAAACTCCGAGTTGGCAGGGTAGTTTATGAGAAAAGTCAAAAAAATTCAAAAATTAACCTATATGTTAAAAAATGAGCTTGTTTGAGGCCATGACTTTTTTCTACCAAAGTTAGGGAAAAACCACTTAAGATGAAATCCCTGTGATTTGTTCTTTTGATTGAAATCTTCATTCCAGCTTTGTGCATTTAATACTTGCAAGAAATTAAATGTTGTATCAAAAAATGAAGGCGTAGCCGGTTAATCACGGAAACTTCCCACAACCCGTTCTATCTATGGTTCAAAAAAGGCAAATTTGAGAGGGTGGTTTATGAGAAAAAAAAACCCATGCATTTAATACTTGCAAGAAATTAAATGTTGTATCAAAAAATGAAGGCGTAGCCGCTTAATCACGGAAACTTCCCACAACCCGTTCTATCTATGGTTCAAAGAAGGCAAATTTGAGAGGGTTGTTAATGAGAAAAAAAACCCCAAAAACATGGGTCAGAAGCTTCCCCCACAGACTTTTTCGGAAGCTGTAGACAAGGGGGTAAAGTCAAAAGAGTCTAGATGATTATGCAAGTACACGGTGGAGTAGGTGCTCTAACCGTCGATACCACTTTTCTGGAAATCGGCAGGGTAGTTTTTGTGAAAAACTAAATTTTTTGCAAACAGTGAAAAAAAAACAAAGCCGAAAAAAATTGATTTTATAGAAAACTTATAAAAGAGTTAAGTCCCTCCTGAAACTGCTCTGATCAACACTTCAAACTACCATGATACTTCGCTGCAGCACAAAAAAAGACGGTGATGTCTTTTAACGAAGAAAAAAGTTTGAATTTCATACACACTGAAAAAAGACGGTCCTACCATGACTCGACCACCACACCTTAGGCTGCAAAAGCGACCGCGTTTCTTCCAGGCGTGTGAAGGAACCAAGAAGGTGTTAGGATTCAATAACAAATGGAACGCCTATTTGAAACTCAGGCATGCTCATTTCATGTCATTGGATGACGGAAGTGCGAATTTGAGAAAACTAAAAGAATAAAATAAGTTGATTACAAGAAAATGTCTGTTCCGATTTGATACACAGTGTCGAAGCTCCGCCTCGCAGACACAAGCGAAGAAAATTCAAAAAAGAGCCCTGAACAGGCAAAACAGTGAAATAAAGAAAAGATTTGAAACATCATTAGAAAAAAATTTGAATCACGTTTTCACATCTGCTCCACGACCGCTTGTAACTTTACTAACACTAGCCACCCATAAATCAGCAAAAATTCGAGCAAAGAAACCAGTTCAAGGTTTCGGATTTGATTCTCCGACCTGACGTCCTCACATCTGCGCCATGGTCACTTCGAAGTAAACGAGTGACCCAGCTAATTCTGGATGCACCTGTTTTTTTTTTTAAAGATTTTTACAGTAGCTAAAAAATTTTTGGGAAACAAAAATTCTTGTTGATTCCCCAAAAGTTAACCATTTCATAGCAAAATGTGAATGATACGAACTATTCCAAATGTCTTAAGTGCAAGCCGAAATTGCTGAAAATGAAGCAGTTCAATGGATACTATGGTTGCAGCTTGTGTGTTATGAAGGGAACCCACAAAGCATATGTTCACAGTTATTCACACAAAGAAAAAATTGTAATGCGAGATCCCAGCAAACATACAAACCACTTATCAAACCCAAATGACCCCGAATTTGAGACTCGTGGTATTCGAGGGGCCTCAACATTGTTTGCAATGATCGAAAACTTGCCACTAAGTAGCCCAATTGACACGATGCACCGAGAACTGAAAGGTATTGCCTGCGATTTGCTGAACTTTTTATGTGAAACTTTGAGCTGTGTACCTGAAGTAGACCCTTGGATTAAAGATGTCTCGCTCCCATCTGAGTTCACCCGCGCCTTACGTCCTCTTAATAGACTTAGTGTTTTCAAGGCCTCTGAGTTGAAAACTTTTCTGCTCTACTTTTCGCCAATAGTTTTCGCGCCTTTCATGACTGAGCAT